GATGGTGACTGCAGCCATGAAATTAAAAGACACTTACTCCTTGGAAGAAAAGATATGACCAACCTAAACAGCATATTAAAAAGCAAAGACATCACTTTGGTGACAAAGGTCCATCTAGTCAATGCTATGGTTTTTCAGTAGTCATGTATGGATGTAAGAGTTGGACTATAAAGAAAGCTGAGTGCTGAAGAATTGATGCTTTTTAAATGTGGTGTTGGAGAAGACTCTTGAGAGTTACTTGGACAGCAAGAAGATCCAACCAGCCCATCCTAAAGGAAATCAGCCCTGAATAATCTTTAGAAAGACTGATGCTGAAGCTGAAACTCCAATACTTTGGCCACGTGATGTGAAGAACAGACTCATATGAAAAGACCCTGATGCTGGGAAAGATTGAAGGCAGGAGGAGAAGGGAACAACAGAGAAAGAGATGGTTGGATGGCATCACCAACACGATGGACATGAGTTTGAGTTAGCTCTGGGGGTTGGTGATGGACAGGGAAGTCTGTTGTCCTGCATTCCTTGGGGTCACAGAGTCAGACACAACTGAGTGACTGAACTGAACTGAACTGAACTGAACTGAACCTTGACAGCTTCCTGCAGGTGTCTTCAAATCTGGGCCTCTACGCCTACCTGCCTGTATACAAGAAGGCAGGTGTGACCCAGGTAAGCTTCCTGCAACCATTGTGGCAGCATCTCTACTGGACCCACGCAAGCTCTTCTCCTGGCACTGGTTCAGACAGATGGTTAGTCAAGGGGAAAGCATCTCCATCTGGGGAACAAACACTGATATTTTCGGGTAGAAGAAAGAGTAAGAGAGTGGCCAGAAGGGGGCCAAGAGACTAACATGTCTTTACAGCATGACCACTCACTGGACCTCACCTGGTTTCATCAACAGGAGAGCTGCCTGCTGAGTGGACCTCAGGGGCTGGAGTAGATCTCAGGGGTCAACTCTTGGAAGTACACCTGCACTTCCTGAGCCCCAACACTGGTCTCCCCAGTGTGCATTTTGGGATCAGAGGGCCTCAGTTTGAGTCCCAATTCTACCTTTTCTAACTTTGTGACCAGAATTATCCCAGGGCCCCTTGGCTTCAGGTGTCACAAGAGATCAGCACTGCCCACATCCTGAGGGTGTTACAGAAGCGGTGGAGACCATAGACATATATTCCTACTTCCTGCAAACTCAAGTCCTTCGAAATGATAATATTATTGAGTAATTATGACTGTAACACTTAGCTCCTTTGACTAGAGGTTTAAATACTGACAAAGTGAGGTGGGAAAGGGTTTCCCCAGTGGTGCTAGTGGGAAAGAAACCACCTGCGAATTCGGGAGAGTTAAGAGACCTTGGTTCCTTCCCATTTGGGGAGCTCCCTTAGAGGAGGAAATGGCAACCCACTCCAGTATTCTTGCCTGGAGAATCCCACGGACAGAGGAGCTTGGTGGGCTTCAGCCTGTAGGGTCACAAATAGTGGGACAGGACTGAGCGACTTTAGAACACACCCAATAGCATGAGGTAGGAATAGGCCTGGACCTTGGTGATGTCAATCGCTGAAGCAAGAGGGCTTTCCACTACCTCTGAGGAAGAAGGATACCTATTTGGAAGAGAAACTGTGACTCCACTCTGGCACTGAGGGAACTTCCTGCTCTGCTGGTGAATTTCTATATCAGAAGGTGAAACTACAACATCCAGTCCTATTTCTTCCTTTCTTTACTACAGTTGACACCACATTTAAAGAGCGATCAAGAGCCAAGGAAACTAAAACTCTGTGTGCTTCCCAACAATTTGCCTTGTTCTGTGCTGTTCCAAGCACATTAGCTGCATAATCAACATGGTTCTCAAAAGTAACCAAATCTGGGGGTTTCTTTATGCAGACACTATTATTCTCTTTTAGAAAGAAAGAATCTGTGTTTCAGGGAGATGAAATGACTTGCCCAAGACTGCACAGCAGCAGAGTGAGTTACTTAAGCCAAGATATTTTCATTAATAAAACTCATTATCCCATTGCTGTCCTTGTTCAGTCCCTAAGTTCTGTCTGACTCTTTTGAGACCCCATGGGCCTCCAGGCCCACCAGGCTTATCTGCATGGGTCCACCAGGCTTATCTGCCCGTGGGATTTTCCAGGCTTGAATACTCGAGTGGACTGCGTTTCTTCTCCAGGGGATCTTCTCCACCCAGGAATCAGTACCATGTGTCCTGCATTGGCAGGTGGATTCTTCACCCCTTAACCATGAGGGCAGTCCTTAGGAAAAGGTAGCTTGTTTTTATTTAACTGTCTTATGAGTTAAGTATTATTATTACTATTTTGGGCCGTCCCAGTTCTCTCAGTGGGTAGAGCAATGCAGGAGACATGTGAGACTCAGTTTCAATCCTTTTGTCCAAAAGATCTCCTGGAGCAGGAAATGGAAACCCACTCAAGTATTTCAGCCTGAAAAATCGCAAGGAAAGAGGAGCCTGGTGGGCTACGGTCCATGAGCTGGCAAGAGTCAGGTACATTGAGCACACCCACACATATTGATACTTTAGAGATGAAGAAACAAAGTTCACCTAAGGAAAAGTCTCTTGCTGAAAGAAAAACACCTGAAAATCATAAAAGGACACTTACCAAAGTGTTAGTCATATGTCCCAGTTCTTGACCAAGTACAGCTTGGTCTATTCCCTATCTAGTCTTCTCTTCTTAGAGTTAGGTCTTCCCTTGTGACTCGGCTGGGAAAGAATTCACCTGCAATGTGACAGACCTGGGTACGACCCATGGGTTGGGAAGATCCCCTGCAGAAAAGAAAGGGTACCCACTCCACTATTCTGGCCTGGAGAATTCCATGGACTGTATAGTCCAGGGGGTTTCAGAGTCACACACAACTGAGCAACTTTCACTTCACTTCACTTCACTTCTTAGAGTTAACATTAAGATGCCAAATCAAATTACCTTGATAAGATTACTTGATAAGATACCATTATCAAGTGAGAATTACCTCACTTCTTCAGAGCCTTCATCCAGAGCAAAGACAGCTTCCTGAAACCCTCCACCAAGTCACCTAATCCAGCCTATGTCCTATAAGTTCTTTCAAACATTGTCTTTGTAAGACAGCATATTGTTTTCCAGGATAATTCCTGTTCCTTGCTGCAGTGAGTAAAAAACCCAACAAATTCAACTAGGAGCAGGGGTATTTCTACTGGTCTCTAGCTACAATTACTAAGAAGTAAGATTGTTATCCTTATTCTATACTAAAGAAAAGAAAGCTCAGGGATGTTGAGAAATTTGCCCAAGACTCCGAGGAAGTGAGTAACAGCACCAGCACCATCTGTGTTCTTGTTTATTACAATTCTGTGTTTTCTGTGATCCCCATGCCTACTTTACTCATCTGTCATGAAATGGATACTGTCTGTTTTCCCAAGGTACCTCCATCCTACATCTTCCCAGAGGCAGAAGCAGGAGATCATCAAAGGCCCTCTGCTGGGGAGAGCAGGAAACTGCCATGTTAGGAAATGACCAGTAAGTGTCATCTCCATGCCTCCATTTCCTCTCTTGAAGGCCTCAGGATGGTTAATACAATAATGCAAGCAAAATGCTAAAACAGAGGCTGGGGCACTACAAGGTAATCGTCCTTCTTTAACTGAACTAAGCAGCCCCCTCCCCACAGGTGACTTCAGGGAATCAGATACCTTAGAAAATTGGACAAAGAGCCTCATGCCCATTCTCCTTCTGAGAGTCCATGAGGACAAACTACCCCAAAATTTGATTGAACTGAGAAGAAAGGAATAAAAGCTGTCATGTGGAAGAGTCTGTCTCCCATGGTTTTGTGTGGCTTGTGTAGATATTAAGAGGTCAATGATGCTACAATTAACTTGCTTCCTATACCTGGTAGGGCACAGTATCTGGCCAGGGCAAGGGGAGGTGCCCACAGTTTGCAGAACAGAGAGAAGAACCACCATTTCCATGGACTCTATTGGTTAAGGTTTGTAGTTGCAAATAACAGACTCTACTCCAGGCAGTTTAGTTTTGAAAATGCATTTATAGAAATATAAGCCACAGTGTGTGAAGCTACAGAAAGGAAACTTGGAACATCATTGTAGGGTCAAGGGCCTTCTTTATCCCAAATTCTTCTCTCATTATGGATGCTGAGAACTGGATCCCAGAAATTACACCTTGGCCATGCATGAGAAGAGCAGTGATGGTGGGGAGGGGGATGACAGTGAGGATGCCATGAGGATGGGAGTTAAAACAAAAATCCTGGCATCAAACCAAAGGGCTATAGTTACTTTGGTCATGAGGAATGTGCTCCTACATTCCTTCTCCCCTTTCTCAAATAATTATGAACTCTCTCCTTCATGACAAGAATTGAGCTTAGGGGTCTCGTGGTGTTGAGAGCCAACTGGATGAGGCAGAGTTAAGACATGAAGACAAAGGAGGAAAGGAGATAAGCAAGTACAGCTGAGACATGTAGGGGGAGAAAAAAACTGGAAGGAGATTGAACTGCTTTAGAAGCAGACGCAGCATAGCCCTGCAGGAGTCCTTCTCAGACTTCAGAGTTTCAGGGGCCACTCCTCTCATGTCCTCTGCAAAATGAAAGGAACTTGTTGAGTGACATCATTGTAGTCCCACAGGTGGACACCAGTCAACTAGACAGATCCTAAACTTTCCAAATAATATGGAACCATAGTCCTCATGACCCGAATGGCCTAAAAGAAGAAAGTGAATTTTCCAAGCCTAAGTGGGGCACTCAGGAGCACTGCAGACCTGCCCTGGAGGGTGGCTGAATCAGTGTTCCCAGCTGAGAAAGGGAAGCATGTGATCAGGCTGAGATGATCACAAAGAGGCCTCTAGGGTTGACCTTCTGCCATTCTCTCCCTGGAGAACTCGCTCAGTGTGGGTTTCACGGGACACTGCAGCCTCTCCTCCTGGCAGCAGCGAGGAGGAGGACACTGCAGGGTGAATGGTGTGAGGTCCCCTGAGCCCCACCTCTTTCCCCAGCCCTTCCCCTCCTCCTGTGCCCTGCCCCCTGTCTTACCACAGGGAACCTGGCCCTGGAGAGCAGGTCTTCACGCATTCCTCTTTTGTTAGGAAGTTGTTTCTGTTTCCTCCGCAACCGCCATAACTAAACTGCTCACAGAGGCCGGTTTCAGCGTTGTGGAAGTATCTCATTATCATGGCCTTGCAGTCACCCTTCGATTGAGGCTCCATGCAGAAAGCAGGCTTAGAAGCTTCTGGAAGGAGAGGGGCAATGGCTCAGTTATGAGGGTGGTCATCACAGCTCCGTTCAAGGATAGCAACTAGAACTACGGGTTTGTTTGCAATAGAGAATATTAGGGTTGTGGAGGATGGTCAAATTGAAAAGCCCATTTGAAACCTCCTTTTTCAGACAGAATTATGAATGTTGTGTGGTATGATGCGATATACAAATGTATCATGTACAAATGTATATTTCCTCGTGAGTTATTGTAAGCAAAATTCATATAATGCCTTTGATTAGCCTTAAAACTTCTATAGGATTCCCTGGTGGTCCAGTAGTTAAGAATTCTCCTTCCAAGAAAGGAATTCTGGGTTCAAATCTTTGTCAGGGAACTAAACTCCCAAATGCTGTAGGCACTGAGTCAGCAGGCCATAATTACTGAGCCTCAGACCCACAGTGAATCACCAGTCCACCCAAATCAATGCGTAAATGCTCAAAAAAAAACCCACAGCATTATAACAGCAAAAAGAGGTCACAGGTAAAAAATATTCCTTATATGTCAATAATTATTGGGTATAGATAACTGAGTTTTATAAGACTATTAATGTTCTCTGCACTGATCTGTATGGTAAAAACATGTCACTACTCATAAAAATTGTGAAGGAATCATGCTATAAAGGAAAAGGGCATTTAAAAAAAGCATACCACTGTACACTTTGTTTACCTCATGGGATTCTATAAACTGAGTAATGATACTACTGGTATTATGGTTATAAGAGGAAATACATATAATTGTCTTTTCGTCTTTTCCCTGACACCATTCCTAAAAATCTTGGTATTTCTCATGTGATGAAAACAATAAAAGTGTCTGTTGGTATGTGAAGTCAGTGAGTTTGTTAATACCCTCATAAGCCATATGGGCTCTGATTGCACAGGAAAGGACTGCCTATAGGAGGGTGGGAAATTTCATTTCTACCCTCTTCCAAGGTGTTTTATCCACCAACCCGCACATTCCCTCAACCTCAGGGAGGGTAATGGAACCATCTATTGAACAATCTCCAGTGGCTAATGATTTAATACATCATGACTAGGTAATGTTCTCATACCAGACACCCTCTTCCAACAACACAAGAGAAGACTCTACACGTGGACATCACCAGATTGTCAATACCAAAATCACATTGATTATATTCTTCACAACCGAAGATGGAGAAGCTCTATACAGTCAGCAAAAACAAGACTGAGAGCTGACTGGGGCTAAGATCATGAACTCCTTATTGCAAAATTAAGACTTGAATAGAAGAAAGTAGGAAAAACCACAAGACCATTCAGGTATGATATAACTCAAATCCTTAACAATTATACAGTGAAAGTGACAGATTCAAGGAATTCGATCTGATAGAGTGCCTGAAGAACTATGGACAGAGGTTTGTGACATTGTACAGGAGGCAGTGATCAAGACCATCCACAAGAAAAAGAAATGTTAAAAAGGCAAAATGGTTGTCTGAGGAGGCCTTACAAATATCTGAGAAAAGAAGAGAACTGAAAGTCAAAGAAGAAAAGGAAAGATAGAACCATATGAATGCAGAGTTCCAAAGAATAGCAAGGAGAGATAAGAAAGCCTTCCTGTGTTCAATGCAAAGAAACAGAGGAAAACAACACAATGGGAAAGACTAGAGATCTCATTGAGAACATTAAAGATACCAAGGGAATATTTCATGCAAAGATAGGCACAATAAAGAACAGAAATGGTATGCACCTAACAGAAGCAAAAAATATTAAGAAGAGGTAGAAAGAATACACAGAAGAACTAAACAAAAAAAGATCTTCAAGACCCAGATAATAATGATTGGGTGATCAGTGGACTAGAGCCAGACATCCTGGAATGCAAAGTCAAGTGAGCCTTAGGAAGCATCACTATGAACAAAGCTAGTGGAGGTGATGGTATTTCAGTTGATGTATTTCAAATCCTAAAAGACGATGCTGTGAAAGTGCTGCACTCAATATGCCAGTAAATTAGGAAAACTCAGCAGTGGCCACAGGGCTGCAAAAGGTCAGTTTTCATTCTAATCCCAAAGAAAGGCAATGCCAAAGAATGTTCAAACTACCACACAATTGCACTCATCTCACACAAGAGCAAAGTAATGCTCAAAATCTAAGACAGGCTTCAACAGTACAAGAACAGAGAACTTCCAGCTGTTCAAGCTGGATTTAGTAAAGGCAGAGGAACCAGAGATCAAATTGCCAACATCCAATGGGTCATTAAAAAAACAAGAGAGTTACAGAGAAACATCTACTTCTGCTTTATTGACTACAACAAAGCCTTTGACTATGTGGATCACAACAAACTGTGGAAAATTCTTCAAGAGATGGGAATACCAGACCACCTGACCTGCCTCCTGAGAAATCTGTACACAGGTCAGGAAGCAACAGCTAGAACTGGATATGGAAAAGCAGACTGGTTCCAAATGGGGAAAGGAGTATGTCAAGGCCATATATTGTCACCCCGTTTATTTAACTTATATGCAAAGTACATCATGTGAAATGCTGGCCTGGAGGAAGCATAAGCTGGAATCAAGATGCCAGAAGAAATATCAGTAACCTAAGATAGGCAGATGACACCACCCTTATGCCAGAAAGCAAAGAGGAACTAAAGAGCCTTTTAATCAAAGTAAAAGAGGAGAGTGAAAAAGTTGGCTTAAAGCTCAGCATCCAGAAAACTAAGATCATGGCATCCAGTCTGATCACTTCATGGCAAATAGATACAGAAACAATGGAAACAGTGGCAAACTTTATTTTCTTGACGTCCAAAATCACTGCTGATGGCGACTGCAGCCATGAAATTAAAAGACGCTTGCTCCTTGGGAAAAAAAGCTATGACCAACCTAGACAGCATATTAAAAAGCAGGTCTGCCAACAAACGTCTGTCTAGTCAAACCTATGGTTTTTCCCGTAGTGATGTATGGATGTGAGAGTTGGACTAAAAAGAAAGCTGAAAGCCAAAGAATGGACGCTTTTGAACCATGGTGTTGGAGAAGATTCTTGAGAGTCCCTTGGACTGCAAAGAGTTCAAACCAGTCCATGGTAAAGGAAATCAGTCCTGAATATTCATTGGAAGGACTGATGCTGAAGCAGAAACACCAGTACTTTGGCCACCTGATGTGGAGAGCTGACTCATTGGAAAAGACCCTCTTGCTGGGCAAGATTTAGGGCTGGAAAAAAGGGGACAACAGAGGATGAGATGGTTGGATGGCATCACCGACTCGATGGACATGAGTTTGAGTAAACTCCAGTAGCTGGTGATGGACAGGGAAGCCTCAACCTCCGGGAGGGTAATGGAACCATCTATTGAGCAATCTCCAATGACTAATGATTTAATGCATCATGACAAGGAAATGAAGCCTCCATAGAAACTTCAACAAAACAAGACATTTATGTTATTCAAAAGACATGGGATCCACCCAGGGAACAGTATAAAAACACACTCCATGTGAACCACTGCAGTAGCCTAATCACTGGGGCTCTGTCTCTGCTCTTTACTCCCTAGAGGCCACTCTGCACTGCAGCCTCAGGGATTCTCTTAATTCAGCCTTATCCCATGGCTCCTGGGAGACCAATTCTTCAGTGAGTCCCCTTTTCTCTGGCAGTCAAATTCTGATTCTTATAAAGCCCCTACAAGGCTCCTCATGACCTGCTCCCTTTACAAATCATTATATTCATGATTGGCAATCTGTTCAAAGAGGTCTCATCCCCTTCCACTCTTTTCCCCTCACCTACACATACTCATCTCCAGCAACACTGGCCCCTGCTGCTGCTCAGAGCATGGCAGGCAGGTGATTTCTGCAGTCTCTGCTCAACACCTCCCTATCACAAAGGGTTTCCCTGACCCTTTAGACAAAAAGCACAGCTCCTTTCTCTGCCTCTCTCTCTACCTTCCAAAAGCTGATAACCCACCATAACATTTCCCCCTTTGCTATTTTATGTCTCCCTTCTGGAAGGCAAGTTATTGTGCCATGTTTCCCCATCCCCAAGCACCATGCTTTGTAGGGACTTTATAATTCCCATTTTCATTCTCTCAACAAATGCAAGGTCCTTAAATACAAAGGATATAATTGATTTCCTTGTAGTACACAATTACGTTGATGATGGGGCACATCGACGTATGGTCAATCTCCCTCTAATGTTCAGTCTGCTGAGAGGACAATAAAATAGTCTGTATGGGTGATCATCAACCCTGAAACCTCTCTGAACCCAAATATTTACGGATTTTTATGGAGGTTTTCAATAAATAGCCATATTTATTGAGTTAGTGGCCATTACTGACTGATCTGAATCTCAGGCCCTGCTCTTCTTCCCAGAGGTGCTGGCAAGAAAGTGGTGAAATTTCAAAATTCTAACTGGATGTTGAAGTTTTGGGGAAGACCCCCAGTACCTGAAGGTTTCCTGGGTTGCTTTCCCTGAGCGGTCTTATGACCTATCAAAGAAAGCAAATTCCAAGAGTTTCAGGAGGCTGGGGCTTTAACCAGGACAAGGATCAAATATGGATCAAATACAAATAATAAAATAATAGTCAAAAGAAGACATGGGAGAAGGCCAGGGGGCTTTACTCATATTGTCTCAGCCTTGATCCCATGAGCCAAACCACACAAGGGCTGTGTTTCTTGTGCTCCTGCAGTTCCTGCTCAGTGGTCACAGGTCTTTCTGCTTATTTTAGTAATAGAGGAATAATCACTATTTCACATCCTAAAAGATGATGCTGTGAAAGTGCTGCACTCAATATGTCAGCAAATTTGGAAAACTCAGCAGTGGCCACAGGACTGGAAAAGATCAGTTTTCATTTCAATCCCAAAGAAAGGCAATGCCAAAGAATGCTCTAACTACTGCACAATTGTGCTCATCTCACACGCTAGTAAAGTAGTACTCAAAATTCTCCAAGCCAGGCTTCAGCAATATGTGAATCGTGAACTTTCAGTGTTCAAGCTGGTTTTAGGAAAGGCAGAGGAACCAGAGAGCCAATTGCCAACATTCCCTGGATCATCAAGAAAGCAAGAGAGTTCCAGAAAAACATCTGTTTCTGTTTTATTGACTATGCCAAAGCCTTTGACTGTGTGGATCACAATAAACTGTGGAAAATTCTTCAAGAGATGGGGATACCAGACCACCTGACCTGCCTCTTGAGAAACCTGTATGCAGGTCAGGAAGCAACAGTTAGAACTGGACATGGAACAACAGACTGGTTCCAAATCGGAAAAGGAGTATGTCAAGGCTCTATATTGCCACCCTGCTTATTTAACTTATATGCAGAGTACATCATGAGAAACGCTGGGCTGGAGGAAGCACAAGCTGAATCAAGATTGCCGAGAGAAATATCAATAACCTCAGATATGCAGATGACACCACCCTTATGGCAGAAAGTGAAGAAGAAATAAAAAGCCTCTTGATGGAAGTGAAAGAGGACAGTGAAAACGTTGGCTTAAAGCTCAACATTCAGAAAACTAAGATCATGGCATCCAGTCCCATCATGGCAAATAGATGGGGAAACAGTGAAAACAGTGGCTGACTTTATTTGGGGGGGGGCTCCAAAATCACTGCAGATGGTGATTTCAGCCATTAAACTAAAAGACACTTACTCCTTGGAAGGAAAGTTATGACCAACCTAGACAGCATATTAAAAAGCAGAGACATTACTTTGTCAACAAAGGTCCATCTAGTCAAGGCTATGATTTTTCCAGTGGTCATGTGAGAGTTGGACTATAAAAAGAGCTGAGCCCAGAAGAATTGATGCTTTTGAAGTGTGGTGTTGGAGAAAACTCTTGAGAGTCCCTTGGACTGCAAGGAGATCCAACCAGTCCATCCTAAAAGAGATCAGTCCTATGTGTTCATTGGCAGGACTGATGTTGAAGCTGAAACTCCAATATTTTGGCCACCTGATGCAAAGAGCTGACTCATTTCAAAAGACCCTGATGTTGGGAAAGATTGAAAGCAGAAGGAGAAAGAGACGACAGAGGATGAGATGGTTGGATTGCATCACCGACTCAGTGGACATGAGTTTGGGTAAACTCTGGTAGTTGGTGATGGACAGGGAAGCCTGGCATGCTGCAGTTCATGGGGTTGCAAGGAGTTGGACATGACTTGGTGACTGAACTGAACTGAATCATCATTTGACACCTCAATATGTTTTCTTGCCCAAAGGTGGTAAAAGTATAAACTTCTTCAAATTAACATGTTGATGGAAAATGACAAAATTGGTCATGAAATGTGAATAAATTCTTTATACTCATGATTGGTAATCTGTTCAAAGTATGTTTACAACTAGTTTCCCCTGTTTAGATGAGGAAACTGCTGATGACTTGCCCCAGGACAAAAGTTTTGTGTGGTAGGGTCAAGACTAGCTAATGTGTATCACAGCCTATCTAATACATGTTTCTACCAGGAATTCTGAAAATACAGCTTATTTGTAAGAGTTTCTGGATACAGAGTCCTACTTTCTTTATTTCCTGTCCCCAAGCCTCACCTAAGCCTCTAAATCATGGAGCAGAGTGAGTGTGGATTTACCGCAACACCAAATATGTGATGTCTTTACCAACATCAATCAATTCCCCAAAGACACACTGGGTGTCCCGTGGTCAACTGATGTTTGATATGAAATCAATGCATTTAGTGCAGATCCCACCCACTGAGGGCTCAGAAATGCCCTCACTTTAGTGCCAGCCATCTGATCCTGAGTTACTTACACTTGTGGCCAAATGGCTAAAATGTGGAGATTCCATGACCACCCCTCCACATTCAATGACAGAATGGAACTGACACCCAAACTTAGGAAAGCCCATACTTACTCTTCTCAGATGAACATACACAAAAAGTTCACAAACAGTGAAATGGAGGAGATATGTAGGACAAAGGGGAGTGGAGGTGTGTGGAGTCTCCATGCACTCATGAGCGCAGCACCCTCACATCAAGTACTTGTGTTCACCATGCAAAAAGCTCTCTGAACCCAAATGTTAATGCACTTTTTGAGGTTTCAAGAAATTTGCTTATTGATTGAATCATTGGCCATTGGTGATTGACCTTGATTTCAGTGCCATTCCCTCTCCTCAGAGGTGCAGAAACCACAAACCTTTATCCTCCTCTTTCAGTATTTGTGTTGGGAACTCCTGTACTATGTGTTCCTTGAGATGTCTTTCTGAAGTCTTCTCCTGACCTGTGAATGGGAGTAAATTTCAAGAGTTTCAGGTGGCCTGTCCATGAAACAAGAAAGGGATCAAACATGGATAAGAAAATAACAGTCAAAAGACAACAAGGGAGAAGGCCTGGAGACGTTCGTAATGTTGTGTCAGCCTTGGTCTCACAGCCTACCACATAAGGGCTGTTTCTTGTTCTCCCTGCAATTGCTCTCCTCCATGGTTCCACATCTTTTGATTCGTTTTAATAATAGAAGAATAATCATTATTTGGTAAAGAAATATTTTCACTTGGCCAAAACAAGCAAGTAGAAAAAACTTTTTCATATTAACAAATTGGAGGTGGGGGGAATGGACAAATCTGGCTGTGACACGTGAATAAACTGTTTATATTCATAACTCATCATCTGTTTGAAGAACCCATGTTATGTATTTTCCCTGTTCAGATGAGCAAACTGCAGTTGATTTGCTCCAGGACACAAGCATGTGGGTGGCCTGGTCAGAACAAGGTACTGTCATGTCACAACCTATTGATACACTACTGATTTTCTAGGAACTTGAAAATACAGATAACTGGTAAGTGTTTCCGGGTACAGAGTGCTAGTATCCTACTCACCTCTCCCCAAGCCTCACCTGAGCCTCCAAATCACAGGGGAGGGGGAGTCTGCTTTTTTACCTGACATGAAATACATAATTTCTCCACCAAAATCATCCAATTCCCAACACCGAATGGTAAACCACAGTCAAATGACTTCTCATAACAAATCTGTGGAGTTAGTGCCAATGAAATATTGAGAGGGTAACAGGCAGGAAGGCCAGGGGTCTCCAAATGGCTCAGAAACTACTTGACAAACCAGTATGTTATACTCAGATATTGTTCCCCTAATCTATGTAAACAAAACTATTTGTATGGTAATCTGCCCTTCTACAAGATTCAAGTCAATCATTTTATGGCCTGGGATGAATCATCTGGTGCCAAGATTATCACAAAATGCAACTTATGGATGAGAGGCCTGGTACCATTCTGAATTTTAAGACATTCCTTTCTTTTCATTAACAGACTACTAGTGACTATATAACATCCAGCTGAAGACTAGCAGGGGGGTACTCTTTCTGACCCCTTCTGATGTCCATGTCAGAAGCTTTCTCTATCTCCTTTATACTTTAATAAAACTTTATTACACAAAGCTCTGAGCGATCCAGCCTCGTATCCAGCCCCGGATTGAATTCGTCTCCTCTGGAGGCCAAGAATCCCAGCGTCTTATCATTCAGCAACAACCTTTCAATATGTTGAGGGATCCAGACTGTTCTGACTTCAGATGCCAGCCATGTGGTCTAGGGTCACTCATGTTTCAGAGCAAGTGACTAAAGTTGAATTTTCCATGAATAATCCCACATCAATGCTCAGTACCTCAATCAAACTGGAGAATGAACTCAGGAAAACTCTTACTCATTGTTCTCAGATTAATGTACAGGATGAAAGTTAGAAAGAGTGAAATGGAGGAGACATGTAAGGCTAAAGGACAGTGGAGGTGTGCGAAGCTTCCCCCCACCCCTGGTTAGCACAGCACCCTCACATAACCTCCATTTGTTACCATCCCAAAAGCTCTCTGAATGCCAGTATTAATGAATTCTTATTGAAGTTTCACTAAATAGGCATATTGATTGAATCATTGGCCACTAGTGACCAAACTCAACCTCAGTGCCCTCCCCTTTCCCCACAGGTGCAGAAAGTTCAAACCTTTATTTCCACCATCGATTTTATCAGCTACACTTTTTATTACATTGGATCCTATTTTGATTATCCTGTTACCTATGAAACAAAAATTCCAACTTTTCAGGAGTCTTGGACCATGAATCAGGACAAGGTTCAAATATGAATAAAAAAATGATAGTCAGATGTGACAAGGAAAAAGGCCTGGAGGCTTTATTAATATTCTATCAGCCTTGGTCCCATCAGTCAACCACACAAGGACTATGTTTCATGCTTTCCCTGCAGTTGCTCTGCTCAGTGATCACAGGTCTTTCTTATTAATTTTTATCAGAGAGGGATAATCTCTATTTGACATATAAATATTCTTCTGGCCCCAAGTAAGTAGGTATAGAAACCATTTGAAATGAACCTATTGTGGTGGAAAATGACCAAAATTTGCCATGAAATGTGAATAAACTCTTTATAACTGATAATACATTCAAAAAACCCATAAGGCATGTATCCGCTCTTCAGATGAGGAAGCTGTAGATGACTTGTCCCAAGACACATGGCATGTGGGTGGCAGGATCTGGATAAAGATACTGCCCTGTCACAACCCATTTGATACACTACCTGATTCTGCCAGGAACTCTGAAAATCGATAACTGCTGAGAGCTTCTGGGTGCAGTGTCCTTCTTTCATTACTCCCCTGTCCCCAGGACTTACCTGAGCTCCCAAAGCACAGGAAGAGTGTGTTGGATTTACCTGACACCAGATACGTGGTGTCTCTAGCAACAACATCCAATTCCCTAAACACCCACTAAGTGTCCAACAAGTCAAATTAATTCTGATAAGAAATCAGGGGAGTTAGTACAGATTCTGCAAGTTGAGGGCTCAAAACTCTCCTCAGTTCATATGCCAGCTATGTGTTCCCTGTCACGTATGATTCAACCAAGTGGCTAAAACTTGGAAGTCCCATTACCCCAACTCCATGTTCAATAATTCAATACATCTGATGACCAAACTCAGGAAGACCACTCACATACGGATCTCATGTTATTATAAGGGGGTAAATGTATGGACAGCGAAATGAGTGAGATGTACAGGATAAAGTGGAAATGGAGGTGTGGGGAGTCTCCAGGCCCTAGAGGACACAGGACCCTCACATCACTGTCATGTGTTAGCACCCCAGAAGCTCTCAGAATGCCCATATTTCTGGATTTTTATTGAGGTTTCCCTAAACAGGCATAATGATTGAATCAGTGCCCTCTGGTGACTGTTCTCAGTCTCAGTGCCCTCTCCTTCCCCAGAGATGCAGAAAGTTCAAAACTAAAGTCACACTATTGAAGATATCTGGAACCACTTCTGGCTCTGACTGCTCATCAGGCCCCTTCTCTGGTTTCCCTCCAGTCCTATAAAGACAGCAAATCCAAGAGTTTCAGGAGGTCTGGGCCATGAACCAAGACAACGATCAAATGCGGATCAGAAAAAATCAGTCAACAATGAACAAGTGAAAATCGCTCCATCATGTCCAACTCTTTGTGAGCGCATGGACTATATAGTCCATGGAATTCTCCAGCCAGAATACTGGAGTGGGTAGCCTTTCCCTTCTCCAGGGGATCTTCCCAACCCAGGGATCGAACCCAGGTCTCCTGGATTGCAGGCAGGTTGTTTACCTGCTGAGCTACCAGGGAAGTCCTACAAATATAATATACTTACTCATGAGATTCATAATGTCAGTGGAGCTCAGAACTTGCAGCTTCAGACTTCCCTGGGGCGCAATAGTTAAGAGTCTGTCTGCCATTACAGCGTTCATGAGTTTGAACCCTGATTTGGGAAGATCCACGTGCCTCGGCACAACTAGGCAGGTGAACTCCAACTAGTGAGCCCAGATGCCTAGAGCCCCTGCTTTGCAACAAGAGAAGCCACCCCAACAAGAAGCTCACACACCACAACCGGAGAGCAGAGCCCAGAACTAGAGAATGTCCTCGTCTCCTGAAGAAGACCAATGCAGCCAGCACCATAATAACAACACTGCCCCACCCGCCAGGAGAAATCAGAGAGGGCTGGCAGCACGGCCTCTCACCTTCCCCCCTCCCCTCATCCCTTTGGTGGCCTCCCATCATCCCTGGTACCTGTAGAGGAGAGGTGAGTCCAGACATACCTTGGTCCTGAATATTGTTTCTAAGCTCTGGGGTGCTGTCCACCAGACTGACCAGAAGGGCTGCAGAGAGGCAGAGCCAGATCATCTTCATGGCCTTGCAGGAGGGCTCCTGAGGATACTGGGGATGGACCGAGTTTTTAACATCCTGGCTAGGGGGTGACCTCAGGTGATAAGGAAGGGAGTGGGGAAGGGGAGGAGTGGTGTAAGTCCTTTTTATTACCCAATCTTCTTACCTAACCATGCCTCCTGCATTTCTCTGCAGGGGCCTACATTCTATTAATAGCAGTTTTTAGACTTGACTATGCCTGTGGGTCTCTGTAAACACAGATCATGATTCCAATATCTCACTCAGGGAAAGTCCCAGCACTTAGAGCAGTGCATGGCATGTAATGAATGGTCATGAGTGGATGCGAGTCGATCAACAGGCAGATAAGTGATCAGCAGTGTTAGCGCACATCCTCCTTTCAGCCTCCTGCACGTATCATTTCTCCTGGACCTCAGTGCCCTGATCCCCCTCACCTACCTCAGATGACAGGTGTGACACAGGTCACCTTCCTGCAACCACTGTCACAGCTTCTCCACTGGGTGGACGCATGCTCTTTACCAGACACTGCTCCAGGCAGGAATTTGGCTGGGGAAGCTGATGTCCTCCTGGGCTGTAACCCTGCAGTGTGTTCACTCTGGTCACGGCATGAGCACTGGAATCATGGAATATGGAGAGAATATTTATACTGTGACTCTAAAGAAATATTAATTTGGTCTTCTTCCTATTCCTGACAGAAAGCTCCCAACACTGCCGAAGTTTCCTGAGAGATGACAGCAACAAGGAGCCTTTTATCATGTGAGGGAGGTGACTAGTAAATACTCAGCCTAAAAAACCACTACCATAGTGTAATTAGCCTCCACTTAAAATAAATTAATTATTTTTTTTTACTTAAAAAAAAATCACTTAGCCTAAACCAAGGATGGAGTGTATTGTCAAGGTAACCAACACTTGATTGGGAGAGTGGGAATTTTCATTTCCATCTTTCCTCTTTCCCTGCCCCCGCACCTCAGGAAGGGAAGCAGGGTGGAGGGTGAACTCATCACAAATGCTTTAAGATTGAAGGATTCGTGGTATGTGAGGAAGCCTCCAGAGAAACCTCAACAGAGCAAGTCATTCAGGTTCTTCTAAAGCACTGCGATCTACCCTAGGAACCACACGGGTACACACTGCCCCACGACTCCCTGGGCCACTGCATCACCTGCCCAGGGGCCTCGGTCTCTGCCCTTGTTTCCTAGAGGCCACTCTCCACTCTGCAGCCTCAGGATTCCTGTTTCAACTTGAGTCCTATCGCACGGCTTCCAGGACCAGCCTCTCAGTGACTCCCCAGCTCTCTCACAGTCAAATTCTGATTCTTACAAAGTCCTACAAGGATCCTCACGACCTGCCCCCACGGCCTCTCTGCTTCATCCCCTCCCACTCCCCTCCCCTCACCCACTCAGCTCCAGCCACCCTGGTCCTGGCTGCTGCGCAAACACAACAGGCTCATTTTTGGCGGCCTCTGCTCAAGGCCTCCTTATTCCAGAGTGTTTCCCTCACCCTCTTCAGCCTCTTGAATCCCCATCACTCTCTTTCCTCACAACATTCATCATGACCTGGCATAAGTTTTTCCCCATCTTCATTGCCTGTTGGCCTCTTAGATAGCATATTATTTTACTATATTTTGTTTACAGCTGTTTTTCTACACCAAGAAATATGCCTTCTGGGACAAAAAGGATAAATATTTGATAAATATTTGTCAAGTAAATGAATCTCCATGTCACACTCATGCCAAGTGTACAGTTATTGAAGAGTCTGGATACATTAAAGCTCATGTTAGTCTATTTGACAATGAGGGCTGTGTATGTTGATAGATAGATAGATAGATAGATAGATAGATAGATAGATAGATATGGCTTCCCTCATATCTCAATGGTAAAGAATGCCTTCAGTGCAGGAGACCTGAATTTGATCGCTGGGATAGGACGATCCCCAGAGAAGGGAAGGGCTACCCACTCCAGTATTCTTGTCTGGAAAATTCCATGGATAGAAGAGCCTGGAGGGGCTACAGTTCATGGGGTCACAAAGAGTTAGATCCAACTGAGCAATTAACACTTTCACTTTCTTTCACTTGTCTGTATAATAATGTGTCTCTCTAACATTGTATATGCTGATGTGAAAATGAAGTAATAGTCTGACAGGACAACAAACTGAGGTGCATTGAGATTTGACTTACATTGTACCAGCCTGGAAATAACAGTTTTTTCACCATGAGCAAACTCTCAGAAGTACTGCATTTCTAGCTCTTTCTGCAGTTGTCTCCAAAGGTAAGAAGCCCAGCTGTCACTCAACATCCTGATTAACTTCATAACAGAAGAATGATCATGATTTGACAGATGAAATATTTTTAGAGGGATGGTGAGGAAATGTAGGTAGAGAAGTCTTTTGGAGTAAAATATTTTGGTGGAAAGTGAACCATCATGGACTGTGAATGTGCAAATTCTTTGTACTCATGACTGGTAATCCTTTCAAAAAACCCATGTAACATGGTCCGCCTATTCAGGAGAGGAAACTGCAGATGACTTGCCCCAGAACAAAAAGCCTGTGAGTATTAAGATCAGGAAAAGTCACAATCCATTTAGTCAAGTATGTGATTCTGCCAGGAATTCTGAAAATGCAGAGAACTGGGAAGGAGTTCTGAGTGGTCTCCCTGGATAACATAGTTCCAGACACAAATGATAGGGAAGAGTGAGTCCGGGTGTTGCCCCAGTCTGAACATGCGGGTTCTCTACCAACAGCAATCAGCTCCCCAACACCCACGGGCATCCAGGAGTCAGTTCACTTCTGACACTAAATCCACAGAGGTGACAAAGACTGCACAGGGTGAGGGCTTGGTCCCTGAAGACTGTCCACACTTCAAGTGTCGATCACGAGTCCTGTGGTCACTTAACCCGTGTGACCCGCTGGCTACAAAATCAGAGGTTCCATGACCCACCTCCAAGTTCAGTGACTTATCTGACCACTCACAGAACTGAGGAAAGCCTTTTATTTACTGTCTTCAGTTAGTATAAAGCATGAAACTCAGGGACAGCGAAATGGAGACGCACGGGGGAAATGGGGAGGTAAGGCTGCCAAGCCTCCAAACCCTCTCGGGACTCTCCCCTTTACAAACCCTTGATGCTATCACCTCCTCTGAAACTCTCTGAACCCGATCTGCATGGGTTTTAATTGAGGGTTGGAGGTAGGCGATTTGATTGAATCTTCGGCTGTTGGTGACTAAGCTCAGTACCCTCTTGTCCCCAGAGGGACTAGGGTTGATAGTTCCTAACCCTGTAATCACCTGATGGAATGTTCTGAAGTCCAGTCCCATCCAGATGCTATCTCAGGTCCCAGCCTTCACTCATCTCATGACTTACAGAAAGATGCTAAATTCCAAGTTTCAGGAAGCCTGGGCAGGAATGGAAACAAGGAACAAACAAACAAAATAAGGATTTTGTTATACTACATTGACTTTTAGGGACAAGATAGTGACCAGGAATGGAGAAGGAAATGGCAACCCACTCCAGTATTCTTTCCTGGAGAATCCAAGGGACAGAGGAGCCTGGTGGGCTGCCATCTAAGGGGTCGCACAGAGTCAAACACAACCGAAGTGACTTAGCAGCAGCAGCAGCAGTGACCAGGAAGAGAGATCTCAGTAATGGGGTCCCTATTCTGGTAGAGTGAGTTGGGGTACTTAAAAAAAATGTGAATACATAATTGGGGACTTCCTCAGTGGCTCAGATGGCAAAGAATCTGCCTGCAATGCAGGAGACCTGGGTTTGGTCCCTGGGTTGGGAAGATCCCCTGGAGAAGGGCATGGCAACCCTTCTTGCCATGGAGAATGCCAGTATTCTTGCCTGGAGAATTCCCATGGACAGGGGTGCCTGGTGGGCTACAGTCCATGGGGTCGCCAAGAGTCGGACGCAACTGAGGGACTGAGCACAAAAACACATAGTGTTACCTTTTGAGAATCAAGGAAGCAACCTAGATGTCCATCAGCAGAAGAATGGATAAGAAAGCTGTGGTACGTATACACAGTGGAATATTACTCAGCCATTAAAAAGAATGCATTTGAATCGGTTCTAATGAGGTGGATGAAACTGGAGCCTAATATACAGAGCGAAGTAAGTCAGAAAGAAAAACACCAATACAGTATATTAACACATATATATGGAATTTAGAAAGATGGTAACAGTGACCCTATATGCGAGACAGCAAAAGAGACACAGATGTAAAGAACAGACTTTTGGACTCTGTGGGAGAAGGCAAGGGTGGGATGATTTGAGAGAATAGCATTGAAACATGTACATTATCATATGTGAAACAGATCGCCAGTCCAGGTTCGATGCATGAGACAGGGTGCTCAGGGCTGGTGCACTGGGATGACCCTGAGGGATGGGATGGGGAGGGAGGGAGGATGAAGGGTCAGGATGGGGAACACATGTCCACCCATGGCTGATTCATGTGAATGTATGGCAAAAACCACCACAATACTGTATAGCAATTAGCTTCCAATTAAAATAAATTTTTAAAAAATTTTAAAAAAGAAATATCCCTGCAGTGAAAACTGCCCAATATCCCAGAAGAAATCAAGAGAAACTTGGCAGCCTCCACCCCACCCCTGCTCCCCAGCGCCCTCTGTGGACTCTCTTCATCCTACCTCATCCTGTAGAGGAGAGGTGAGCTGAAACACCCTGGGCCTGGTTGCTGATTTCACCCACCAGGATGCCGGCCATCACAGTGCCCAGGAGGACGAGAAGGGCTGCAGCGAGGCAGAGGGCCTTGCAGGAGGGCTCCTGAGGAAAGCTGGGGGTGACTGAGCTTCTCACACCCCAGCTGTATGGTGGGACAGGCGGCAAAGAGGGGAGTAAGGAATGGGAGGAGCGGGGATCAGGCTTGTCCAGTGTGAAATCTCTCACAGAGCCAGACTTTCTGCTTTTGCCTGCTGGAGCCAGATGCCCAGGAACACTGCTTCTCCAGCTTTACTTTGCCTGTGGATCCTGTGAAAACACAGTCTGTGATTCCACAGGTGCAAGTTTTGTTTGATGCTCATAGAGCATC